ATTTATGGAGGACGTATCCAGACTGTCCTGCCCCCCACCCCTTTTTCCTTACAGCTTCCAGCCCTGATTTAGAGGCCTAGGAAGTCCTATTTTGGAGGTTGCATCCATAGGCAAAATGTTTACATTTCCACCAATGGACCTATCTTGCATGAACTGTCTAATCCTCTTTTGAACCTGATTAAGTTATCAGTTTCTACACCTTGTGTCAACAGGTCCTACGTTAGTTACAGGCTGTGAAACAGAACTTGCTTTTGTTAACTTAAATTTGCTTCTTAATACTGTTCTTGCCTCCCCCCCCACCTTAACCTGCAAAGTGACCTTTAAGCTCAGGTCAGACGTGTATGTTAGGGCTGAGCACCAGAGCATGGAGAAGCTGTAGGCCAAGCTGTAGGGAGAGGCAGCCCCACCACAAGGCGTGAGATTTTATGGGTAGTAGTGGGGCTGTCTCTGCCAGTACTTGCAAGACACAAGTGAGTTTCACTTTCCAGGCTTGTTGCACAGTCAGAGCCAGGGCCACCGAGCAGGGATGGCACCCTCTGCAGGACGGCTGCGTGACTGTAGCCCTCACTGCCCAGTTACACCAGCCACCTCAGTTATTAGTGTCCAGGCACTGCCACCCAAAGCAGATTAACACTGATGTTTCACACCCCCAGCTCCTGTGGATGTGACCCAGGAACAGAGCACAGGTACTACTTGTGCAGTAGGATCTGATTCATGCAATTCATCATCTTCTGGGTGGGAGGGAATCACATTCCTTGCGTACATAGCAAGGGCACCCTGTGGTCACGGGGAGGGATGCTTCAGGAGAGCCAGGGATGACGCACAGCCCCAGATCCCCCTCTGAAGTTCCTTACACATCCCTAGAGCTGGCTGCTCCTCTCCTCTTGCTTTTCTCTCTAGGAACCTCTCCAAATTTTGCCATTACTGGATGCCTTACTGCTGAGCTCAACTCAGGTCCTGTTTATCAAGAGCATGCTGTATGTCAGCCCCAGCTTCCTGGCCTCATATCCCCTGCACTGAAACATCTGGCCTGCTGTACTCTGTCCCAGGAGCTTGTATTAGACCAGCGCAGCCCCTGTCAGTCCTCCCCTCCGACCCCCACACAGCAGCACAAAAGCCCCAGCTGCAGTACAGCACAACCCTCTCCTGACTCCTAGAAATCAGAGGAGCCCCACAACCCCAGGCACAGGCCAGGCCCAGAGCCAGCCTTTGCAAGTTTGCCGTCTCCTCGCAAACATTACATTACTTACGGCAAATCTAAGCTGCCTCCTGCTTTAATCCCCTGGTTTTCTTCTAGGGGCTTGCGAGACGACTCCTTTGTTGGTTGGGTTATTAACAGCCTGCTCCCATTGTACATCATCTGCTCCCTCCCCTACTACCCTTACCACTGCCTGCTTGCCATTTTCTCCTCTCCATCACCTCACCTGTCCTCCACAGGTTCCCAGGTCACAGGGACATCAACACTACCTCAGCAAGTCCATACTGTCCTCCAGGATCAGATCAGCTTGTTCAGCTGAATTCAATACATTCCAGTAGCCTTTTCCTCGCAGTGTTTGCCAAGTGGACAGGACCCTACAATCCCAGTGCACATAAGCATCAGGGAATTGCCTCTCACAACACCTGGGGGGATTGGGAAGATTACCCCCTTTTACAGAAAGGGAAAGTGGGCCCCCAAAGGGTGGCATCACTTGCCTGAGACCATAGAGGGAGCAGGCGTCAGAGCCAGGAGCAGAACGCAAGGTTTGAGCACTGCACTCAGATACCAGCTTTTCCTCATCAGCCTGTTCCTGCCTTTCCTCCTAAATCTCAGCACGTGGAAGTGCTAGATGCTCATTGCCTGTCCAGACGAGACTGCAGCCTAACTCGCCTCCTCTCCCTCATACTCTATCTGGAGCCTGCAGACCATCTTTTACCAGCTTCACTTTCAGTCATTCGTGTCCCTGACTGCTGCCTTCTGGGGAAATTCACAGGCCCTTTCTCCTCCCAGGCCTTCAAGTACCGCAACTCCCCAGCTCTGTACAAGTGCCCTCCCCCAAGCACTAGCAGATGCATGGATGCCCTCCTTTCTGTTCCTCACCTCACTGCAGTCAATCCTCATCCACAGCACAGCCTCACAGGCAGACTTGACCAAAGCCTTCACACAGGGCTTATCACCCAGAAATACCCTCCTGGCATCGCAAGCCCAGAGCATCTTGCCTGGCTGGTAGGGGCTGCTCTCTAGCTGCTCAGCGTGTGCAGTACAGAGCTTACACAATGTTTTGGGAGGAAGTGGGTCTTAGTGAAGGGAAAGTGTCAGAAACATGTTTGATAAACAGTCACCCACGTTTCCTGCTGTTCCACATCTGCCTCCCTATGGCAGCCACGTGTTACAATTGCCAGGGATTGCCCCCATTAGTCACAGCTGCCATAGTGTCTATCCAGCCCCTTGTCCTTAGGGGCCGCTCCTTCACAGCCTGGCTATAGGACGCATCCCCTACAGCCAGGACCCGGCACAGTCACCCCCACTTGAGATTTCCCAAGATGGCTCCTTTTGAGGTTGTTCCTTTCACAACCTGGAGCCACTGGCCCCGAGATGTCCAACGTCTCCCGAGTCAGCCGCGTTCCTCTAGGGGCGCTCTGCCGGGCTGTGGATGGGTGCCCCCGCAGCTCTCCCATTGCAGCCACAGCCTCTTCAGGAGTGATTAACTCTAGGAAAAGAGGGGTAACCTGCCCCTTCGCTACGAGGAGAACAACTGATGGATTTGGAAATGGGAACAAGTGAGGAGCTCGAAAAGCTGCCTTCCCAAGCAAAGCAGGTCTCATTATCCCGCCTGGCCCTGACCCTCCGCTGAGGCCTCAGCCTCCGGTGCAAAGGCCGGGCTCCCGAGCCGCATGCACAGCCTGGCAGCGCGGGGTCAGAGGCGCGAGGGAGGCAGCAGTGAAGCCCACCGCCCCTCCACCGCCCGCGAGAGGCGCTAGGCCCAGCGACCTGCTTCAAACGCCGGCGGCCGCCTTGCCCAGGCCCCGCTGCCCCGGCGTCCAGCGCGCGTCCACGGACACCCGCGGCCTCCCGGCGCCGCACGGACAGGCGGGGCGGGGC